AACGCTAGTGTCTTTGCTGTGTATATACTCTGATCTCCCCCCTCCCTCCCTTCCTCTACCTTTAGCCATAGTGTATGATCGGTATCGCTAGTGTGTGCTCAATAACACTAGAGAATGGTCGGATATCTCCGTACCGGAGATCGACGAGACAACAGAAAGTACTTCGTGCAGGCGTCTCCTTCCCGAAGATTCCTCGTTCTGGTGCGCTGCCTTGGTTCGTTCATGGGATGCCAGGGCGAGGATGTTCGCCTTGAGCTCGCGACGCAGCTCCAGCTCACCGAGCGACAAAAGCCTGGACTCTTGCGCAAGGTCGAGTTCGTAGACGACCGCACAGGCTGCAGCTAGCTGCAACCGGACGTTCCCGACGCAAGAGGCGCGCCAGCTACGAAGGGCCTTGGGCAACGCGCGCAGTTTGTGGTCCAGGCACCGACAAACATCAGCGTCGACAAGGCGGCCACCCCAAGCGGCTTTGACCACGTCAACGAATCCCTCGATCCTCGTCCAGTGCTGGTCGAACCGGAAACGCGGTCTCGCCCATGGCACGGAGTTGAGCACGAGGAGTAGCGGTGCGTGGTCAGAGCAGTCGGAGGAGAGGCAGCGGAGGTGGTGGCAGGAGAATTGCTCGATCCACTCTACCGAGGCGAAAGCCCGGTCAAGGCGTTCCAACGTCGGGCGGTCACGGCCGTTGGACCAGGCGAATAGCCGGCCGGAGAGGTGTAGCTCTTCGAGTTGCAGGTCGTCGATGACCCCGCGAAATCTGCGCATGGTGCCGTGGTCTAATCTGCCATTGTTTTTGTCACTGGCTTTCGCCTTGGCTTATAAGCCGTACTTTTCAGTCAACAAACACAGCCAATAGTACTTTCAGCCATGGCTTATCAAGCGAACAGGGCATTTGTAGATCAAGTTGAAATCACCGCAAAGTAGCCAAGGACCCGGAGAGGCAGTGCGGACAGCACGGATCTCCAGGAGGAAGTCGGGCTTATCTGATCTAGCCGTTGGGCCGTACACGTTAGTGAGCCACGCCGGGTCCATTAATCGGAGTGAGCTCTATAGTGATCGAGAACCGGCGCACGAAGGGGGCAGACGCGCGCCACAGGTCACGACGCCAAGAGACGACGGCTCCATCGGCGACGCCGATAGCCGGGAGGCACACATAATCAAAGTCGATCCCTGTTATTTCATGATGCAAGGTTACACTGAAGTTCGCAACCTTGGACTCCTGCAGGCAGACGATCGAAGCTCGCTGCTGGACGACAATGTCTCTAACGACACTGCGACGTGCACGACTGTTCAAGCCGCGTGCATTCCAAACTAGTAGGTGGTTGGCACTCATGGCGGAACGATGTTTAGGTGACGGTTCTGTGGCGATCAGAACAGCCTTGCCGCGGCCCGCACACCGCGGCCGGCGCGCCTGGGGAAGAGCTCGCGCATGGCGGCCCTTTTGGAAGACGACAGCGGTACCATGAAGGTGTCGTGGAACTTGGAGGCAATCGCCGCGTCAGGCGTGGTGGACGGCACATCCTCTGGCTTCCGCGTCCACTTGCTAAGGAGAACGCGCTTTGCCTGCTTCCCAGGCTGCGGATCTTGCCAGGTGCTGATGCAGCTGTGCGGCCGACATGTGTAGCCTGCTGAGGCGTCGAGCATGAAGCTGCCTGAGCAGGCGTAGGTCCGCCGGCCGTCAGCGTCGGGAGGCTGGCTGGAGGCAGCAAGCTTTGGCTCCTCTCCCAATTGAGAAGTGTGAGGACGGAGCACACGGGATTAGGAAAAGGCGAAACGGACCGACACAGTCACGTGCGGCACCTGGCTCCATTCTGCAGGCGATGGGCTACAAAAGACTGGGCTAGACACCTGGTTCAGGTGCTATCTGGCTGGGCCGACTAGGGCCATGTCATAATATTTGTAGGTGGGCCATAAATAAAAAAAATAAAGAGGCTATAAGGGGGGATTTGGACCACTGGGCCCAAATCCACCCGCGTCCTCCGACGCCATGAAATTCCGTGAAGTCTCCATAGGTTCGTGCTAAAGATTCAATTTTGTTGGTCCCTTTTGATCCGACATGATCCTGATACCCCCATTCTGAGGTAGGAGCCTTGCTCTTGCTGTTTTTGATTGGTGTCTCTTCCCTTCCATGGGGTTTTGCAGGTGTAGGAATCCGTGCATTAACCGGCGGAGAGCAAATGGGTGCTGCGACTGCGCGAGCATGGCGGGCGAGGAGGCCACGGAGGGCAGCGGGAGGAGGCACATGGATCTAAACCTGCATGTCGGACTCCCTCCATTGCCACGGCCTCGAGTCAGGCTAGACACTTCGGCGGCTTCCCCGGCGTTGATGCCCAACAGTGCTGCGCCAGAAGCTCCAAGAACCAGCGAGCCCGAGGGATCACTCGCCCCGGCGGCGGCGACCTATTCGCCGTCGAATGTGCTCTCCGCCCTGGAGGAGCACCCAATGCTTGATCCCGTTGTTTATTCCTGGCTCGACGGCAACAGTGCCGGCAGTGAAGAGTACACTGATGCTCCTGAGTCGTCGGCGCCAGCGCCGGTGGATGGTCTTCTGGTAGCAAGGTCTGTGCGACCTAGCCGGGTGGCTGCTGCTACCGGAATGGAGATGGTGAACACAAGCACACTTGGGCAGTCCACTCAAGGGGCTGCTGCAACTGCAATTGAAGCAGGAGCTCCCGAGCTCCGCTTTCTGAGGGTGATACAGATCAGCCAGCAGCACAACATTGTGAGGCCAGGATCAGCTAACCTCAGTCAAAGCTCTTTTGAAGCTGCGAGGGGGCAAAATCCGGATGGCGGCGACAACTCCAGCTTTGAGTGTAACATCTGTCTTGAGCTGGCTAGACAACCCGTGGTTACATCTTGCGGCCACCTCTTCTGCTGGACATGCTTGTACCAGTGGCTCCATGCACAATCATCCTCCTTTGAGTGCCCTGTCTGCAAGGGCGAGGTGTTAAAAGGGGATATCACTCCGATATACGGAAGATGCGGTGAAGAAGAAGGGGGCTCCACTACCAACCCTGACTTGCCGCCCAGGCCGCAAGCACACAGAAGGGAGAGCCTGAGGCGGCAGCTGCAAATGGCGGGAACGGAGGGGAACGCAAGAGAAATGGCAAGGGTGCTGAGGCAGATGTTTCAAAACCAGAACCAGGGTTGGGATGCAACCCCAGCGGGAGTCGAGACGACTTCGGTTCCTGCAGCCCGGCAAAGGGCTGGCGCTCGGAGACAGCAAAGGCAGGATAACCATGCTGCACAGGTGGTTCTTGTAGCTCCTCAGCAGTCATCGTCTGTGGAACGGCTATCAACTTCTAGCACTGCAGCTGCTGTAGTGGGCGAGCCTGGGCCAAGTAGTCGGTTAAGAAGGCCTTCGGAGTCTCCAACCATAAGAAGGACAAGGAGGAGGCCACAGTAGGTACCAGAGTGTTGTCACTCCCTTCAAAAGAACCTACAGACCATGCCCCGGTGTTGGTTATTACCCATGATTAGCTCCATAACATGTTCTGTATAATCGGAGTATATTTTCTGATTTAGCCTATGCGTCTGGTATGATATGTCATTATAACTTCCCTGATGTGGTTATTCCTGAGTTTTCAACATAGTTATTGTTCAAAATTGCAAGCATGTACTATTAGCAAACTATTCTTGCGAAAAAACAATTATTGAGTCTGCTTGGGGGTCTCTCTGCTTCTGCTCCAATTGCTAGTGTCATTGTGACTGAGCAGCACAAAAGTAGTGATACCAGAATCATGTTGCCTTGTTATGCCACTGGGTATTTGTACTCAAAATTGCCACTGAGTAGCACAGGGAATCTATTGTGACTGTGTGGTACTGTGGTCAACCGTATCATTCCTCGTTCTGCAAAAGTTGCCTTGTTATGCCACTGGGTATTATACACAAAACTTATACAGATGTGATGCTGCAAAATACAAGCACTCCTTTTTTGCATTTTGTCGCAGCAGTTAGGTATTTTTCTTTTTGGCATTCTATAACTGGATAGCACACAACTAAGTTCTCTGATATATAATTCACAGAACCGGTGTATGTTTACTTCAAAGGCTCAAAAAGAGAAGGGACCCTTAGTTTTAGCACAATCCTTCATGCAACATTCACCTATAATCAGCCCAAAATAGATTTATATGGCAAATGAAGACGATCAAATCAGTGGGGTATTTTCCATTTACATGTCATTCGCCGACCTGAACATTCAGAAAGATTACATCACACATCCTCATGATAACACTGACGACATTCTTTGTGGCCTACTAGCTGTTCACATTCTTTGTTGACGCAATGAGCTCAACAGCAAATTATTTGGAATGGTTGGCCAAGTTCACATCATTGGTGAAATTGCTTTGTGTTTGTTTTGATTCCATTCACTACCCTTCCATATGGAGAATTCGAGCATGTTTGATTTGTGTATAGGCAAAAGGCACATGGAGTTCTGTGTTCAGTTCTGCAACCAGAGAATAGCACTTGTTTATTCAGCTTTATTCTGGCAAAGCATGTGCAGACTGCAGAGGGATGCTTCTACTGCTTTCTCATATGTATAGCTAGTAGCCTAGCACCTTAAAAGTGTTGCAGGAGCAAGGTCTGCAACCACTGTTACCAGTAGCAGCACAATGACATATTCAAGATGTGTAGCATGTCGCGTGGCATGATAAAAGACAATGGCTTCCTTTTTTGTTTGAGCGACTGTATTCCATCTTTTGTACTTGAAATGAATGCAGCATTGGATGACAAATATGATACCAATATTAAGTTGAATCAGTTGATATACCTTCCGCATGAGAAAAATGGAACATTTTCAAAATTTGGAATATGCACAAGTTTCGTATACCTTGCAGTTCTAAAACTGTTCAGGATGTATCTCTCCAATTGATTTGTGCAGATATTGGGATTACTGTGCAATGACAAGTTCTCTAATGATTTTTGCATGACAAAATCCAGCAGTGGTTTTCCTTGAAAGCACCAACACACATAGAGCATTAGATCTTGAAACTGTTCAATCAGTCTAAGAAAGCGTCAGGCATTGCCCCTCTCAAAATCATTGTCCTCAACAAATCTGGCTCATAAACTTTTGCCTTCACATAAGCTTTCAGGAGAGTGTTATACACAAAGTAATTCCGAGAATATTTTGATTCATTCAGTTCACTGTATAGTCTCTTTGCATTTTCCAAGTCTCCAATTTCTGCAAAGTTCTCAAGCAACAGATGTGTGGTCTCCAACCACGGTGTTGAACTCCTCACCTTTTTAGTGACAACTTCCTTCTTTCCCATATCTATTGTGTTCAAAGCTTCTTTAACAAGACCCGATTTCAAGCAACCCAATGCTAAGTGGCGATAAGTAATAGCATTAGGCTGGCATCCGTTTGCTCTCATTTCCTTGAATATAGATGATGCTTTATCCACAACACCGTGCCTACAGTAAACTGATAAAATGGAATTGAACTGTTCTGTAAGGCTTAACTTCTTTGTTGATTTTATCTGGACCCATATCTTCTCTGCCTGATCAATGGAACCAACCTTTCCAAATGCTTCTATTGCTAGTGTGAAGCTTTTTGATCGAATATGAGGGAGGTCTTGCATGATCTCCCATGTCCTCTTTAGCTCCTTTTCCTTCCCAAGGTATCCATACAACGATACAAGATAAGAAGAATTTCCAGCATGGACCAATTAGTACCTGTCATGGAATTCTCAATGGCTTCTACATATGTGTGGCAAACAGTATATAGCCTTGCAACAGCATGTGCAATAGCTAGAATGCCATAAGTGATCTCATTGGGCTCAATCTTTGCTCTTTTCATATCATTGAACACCCCCTGGCTAGCCCGTCGATGTTGTGTTCATTGGCTTCTATTTTCAACAGGATGTTGTAGGTTGGCGTGTGAGGGATCACACGGTCAGCTTTCATCTGAGAAAGGATCTTGGATATAGTTTTCCTGCGATTGGGTGATGAGTGAAGGATGATGAGGCGGTTGTAAACATACGTCGAGATCGGCAGGGACAATTCTCTAATCTTCCTCATGTAAGCGTATGAATGCTTAATGAGATCCAGATCCAAAGCAGCCATGACAAGGTTGTTGTAGAGGAGCTCTTTCTGGTATTCCTGAGGCACGCGAAGGAAGAGGCTTTCGGCTTCAGAAATGCCATGGACTTTAGCTGTGAACTCCAGCAGATACAAGTAATCAAGCTCACTCAGCTTGTAGGGCCTCTCTCTCACAATCCATTCCATGACCTGTGGGAAAAAAAAAGGAAAAAAAACTGTCATATCCTGAGCAAATACTAGAAGGCAAGGACTAGGGGATCTTATGTCTATTTTAATTACCACTGCTCGGCACATTGTTCAAGCACAAATAAAGAGAAGCTAGTTTTATGGTGATGAGCTAACTAGAAGGTGGAAGTGAACTAGTACCATTCAAATAAGCTTTCCACCACATTTGTGAACAAGTACAGAGATCAACAGTTCAGCACAATACAAGAAGAGCACTAACAGAAGGGAGAGCAAAGAAACATGGAAATTTCATGTCACTGCACAGCTCAACTCGCGTCAATCACCAAGGAAAGCTCTCATGAACTGGCAGAGGCGAAGTGGGGAAAAGGGGGCACCTGCAGGGCGGTGCGGTGTAGACGGTGTCGTCGGAGGCGGTTGATGGCGTGGAATACGTGGCCGCGGTGCACGGCGCGGCCGTCGGCCATCCAGCCTCGCATGGCCGCGCCAACCGACGCCGCCCGCTCCACCCGCCGCGCCAGCGAGCCCTCCTGCCCTGGCTCGTTGCGGGGCCCCTCCGCCCCAAGATGAGGAGGAGGCGCGGTGGCGTTGCTTCCGGAGCTGGTGAAGAATCCTGCGGCGGGGACGGGGAGCGGCGGCCGCCGGTACCGGAGCAGCACCCGGAGCAGCAGCATCACGGCTTCGCAGAGGCGGAGGCCCCAGTACGGCAGGGTGGGGCGCCTGTCTCGCCTAACGCCGAGCGCCCGAGTCGTGGCCCAACTTCGATCGGTCGAGGAGCCCATCATCAGCCCAAGTTTCCAACACAACAACATAGCCCATCAACCCACCCGGCCCTCTCACACTCTGTCGCTCGTTGCGCCGCTCGCACAGTCGCACTGGCATCAGGGCGCTGCTCCGCCGCCGGCCCGCCCCTAGACGCTGCAAGCTGCACCGCCGCGTCGTGGCTGCCGGCGTGGGTCGCGCCGACCGGACGTCGCGCGCCATCCTCGTCGGGTCGGGACACTGGGAGATGGCCACGCCGGCGGTCAGCATCATCCACGGCAGCAACGACACCATCCATGACTTGTATGGATTTACCAAGGCCATGTACGAGGTTCGTCCGCTAGCTCGATGCCCCCTCCCAACCATGCTCCCCCCTCCCCCCACTGAATCCGTTTTTTATTGAGTGAACCCCCACTTAATCCGTTGGGACGGGGAGGCTCTCGTTTGAGATGAGCCAGCGCGTCGAAATTGAGGTTTACATAGGCAACAATGGAACTCGTTTGGATCTATGCGAGTTCTTGTCTTCCTCTGCGTTTGGGAAAAGATCAAAACTGGAAGTTTCGCCATTCCTATAGAACAGCTAATGGCAGTTGATTTTATGGTTTTACTAATTGATTGTTACAGTTTGTTGTTTGTGGTATGTCTTGTCATGGTTGTGTACTGTTCTTATATGTATTATCACATGTATGGCCCCGTTCGCTTCGCTGAAAAAACAAGTCGAAATACTGTTCCGGCTGATTTGTTGCGAGAGAAAAACACTGTTTCGGCTGAAAAAGACGGATTATAAGAGAAGCGAACATGGCCTAATCTTATATTATACATTAACCGATATGTTCTTTAAATTTATAAGTTTGTTAGATCTTGGACAGTTAGATCTTGGTTACTTGGTGCATGTTGAATCAGTGAATTATATTAAGGTGCTCCTGTTTTGATCATCTCGGAACCCTTTGATGTATTGCAGCCCATCGTCGTCCGGCTCGACGAAGTGTTCTCGGCATAGTGGTGTTCTGGCGTCATGATCTCGGCCGGTTTCTACTCGTGGTAAGGTAGAAAGGCCACAATTTCTATTGCTCATTCTATTGTGTGCTTGCTCTCTAGGATGCTCCTCATCTCTATATTGTGCTCATTTATATCTCTCTCTCTACTCATTGTGCAGCGAGCTGAGGCTTGTGAGATGACGGTTTGGTCAGTTGGGCAGAGTAGAACCCAGGGCCAAGCCTGCGGGTATGGATAGGCCAAGCCTCACAAGTGACACTTATTTGTTTGTGGTCAGTGTTAGGGGGAGCAATGGTTTTTTGCAGTTGACTCTCAGTGACCGAGGGAGTTATTTGCAGTGCCTATAGTTTCTGTCAGTGTGCTCTTGTGTTAGTGGATCTCTCTCATGATGGCTGGGACCAAGACTTTAGGCCCTCATCCAAGGGGCGATGATGGTGACAGGCCGCCTCGTCCTCCTAGACAGGACAAGGGCAAGGCAGTGGAGCAGCCGCGTCAGAAGAAGCAGAAGCACCCTGACAGACAGACACAACAGTCTATTGAGGTTGCAGCAACAACAAAGGCCGCAAAGTGTGGAGGCAACAATGGTGCTCTCAGGATTGGTGGCTCTGGACCGCACTCTACTCAGCCACTCCGTCGGTCTCTTCGTGGACGCGCATTCGTTTACCCGACAGAGCCTCAGCAGCAGCCGGAGCCTGGCTTAGGCAGCAGGTCGCATCACAGAGCGCGGGACGACTCAGATGTCCCACCTACAGAGGCAGAGGAGGAGAGCAGGTCGCGCTGTAGAGGGCAGGACGATGCAGAGGTCCCACCTACAGAGGAGGAGGATGGTCTGCCACCTTGCCACGTCGACCTCCGTGGTGCTTCAACTAGCAGAGTCAAGCGATACCGTCTTGCCTCACTTGACCAGTGGTTCCCCGAGCAGCGGGATGTCAGGGCAGGTGATAGCTTTTACACTACTCTCCAGGCCTCTTTCTTCAGGACCTTTGAGTCAGAGAGGATAGCATTGCGCTCTCACAGGCTCTTGCAGTTGGGTTTCTTGAGAGCTGCAGCTGGTTCAGAGGAGATACAACAACACATTGAGTACCTGCCTGGCTTAGAGGCGCTTGTGACAAGACCAGGGTTGTACGTGGAGGAGTGGGTCAAGATTTTCTACTCTACAGTTTGGATTGACCCCGACCACAAGTTCATACAGTTTATGTTTAGAGGGGAGGTTTACAGACTTTTGACTCGAGAGATCCGAGAGACTTTCGGCTTTGTTCAGTCAGAGACTAGGATCCACAGTTTGTGCTATGGTACAATAGATCCCCCGAGACGCCCTCACGGCGGAGTGTGTCCACCAGCAACTCATGTGGCAGCTCTGTTCCGCCCACCGTTCGGACCTGAGTCCCGTCGTACTCCAGATGACTTGACTCCAGTGGGTCGGGTCCTGAACGCGGCGATGAGGATGACTCTACTTCCTAGGGTTGGCTTCAAAGAGGCGTTGACCAACATACAACAATGGCTTCTTGGTGCTCTTGCCTCTCACACCGTCTTCGATGTGGCAGACTTTCTATTGTGTGAGATTGAGGATGCGATCTCCGACGGTTTTCGTATGAGACGTCAGCTGCCCTACGCTCACTACTTGTCACACATGTTCGTGCAAATGATTCAGCACCCGAGGCACGTTAGCACCCTTCAGGCATCTTCTCAGCATTTTGGAGTTTACAGACCTACTCACACCGGCGACGCTCGCCGTGGCAGCAGGGTTCTCAGAAAGGTTCGCAGAGGCTTGTCAGCTGAGGAGAGAGAGGAGCAGGAGGAGCAGGACGAGGCTATTCGTCAGGATGAGCACGAGGACTTGGCACACTTGTTCAGCGAGGACCTACCTTCTAGTGACAGCTCTGATGACGACTTTAGAGTCCCTTCACCTCCACCGCCTCCTCGAGCACACGACGCAGAGGCTGGGGGCTCTGGCTCAGGCAATGCACAGGCTGGTGGCTCTGGTTCAGCAGCAGACACCTCTCGAGATCAGTGGATCCGAGAGATGTTTGAGCTCCAGCAACAGGCCCATGAGAGACAGCTACAGGCCCAGGCAGCAGCACACGAGCAGATGATGGCCTTGATCTCTGGACTCTCAGCTCGTCAGGACCAATTCCAGGCACAATTAGCTCAGGAGAGGCAGACTACACAGTGCTTACTCCAACACCTCCTTGGACAATCATCCTTGGTTCCTCCTGTGCAGCAGGCTCCAACTGCTCCACTCCAAACACCTGTAGTCCCAGCGTTACAGTCTAGTGGACTTCTTGGACAGGGTGGTTTCGTTCAACAACAGTTCGTGTCCCCGTTAACTGAGTTCCCATGTGCCTTCACTACACCGGGTTCGGGTGTGCCACAGGGTTTCGCTGGCTTGTCTCAGTCCGCTCCAGCAGCTTCTGCAGGACAGACAAAGTCAGTGTTGGCTTCCACATCAGCAGCTACCGCCTCTTGTAGTCTCTCAGCTACTTTCAATGAGACCATAGGCTTGCCTACTTCATCAGCGACAGCTAAGGCACCTGTGACAGCCTCAGGAGCTATAGAGTCCGCCTCCACAGAGACTGTACCTTCTTCGGTAGGGTCATCCCAGCAGTAGATCCCACTGAGTCAGCCTCCTCCAGCTAGTTTAGTTTCAAAGGATAGCTACTGAGACTGAGGAGACTATGATGATAGCAGAGGCCGACGACGACCAGGACGCTTCACAGTTCCACTTCGCTCAGCGTACTTCTTAGCCTGGCTCGTCTGTGACTACCCCTCCAGCCGACTCTTTGATTTTGGTGTTTGACCCAAAGGGGGGAGAGGAGAGTATGTGAGATAGGGGAGAGCTAGTGAGATGAATTTGGATCTTTTGTGTGCTCTCTCATGCATCATGTTCACATTGTGCATTGTATTTATGCTTATTTGCTTCTAGCTCGTACCTTATGATACTTTGTGACATGTATGTGCTCTCTTTTATCTTATATAGTTATATCAAGTCATGTATGTTGCTCGTCTGTTGTGCTTTCATTACATTCTATGTCAAATGAGTACTTTGTTTTGTACACATGCTTATTTCATGTACTTTGTGTACCTGATGTGGGCTTGCTCGCATGACCACGCTCTAACCCCTAAAAGGCTGAGGTGGAAGTTATCCACTATACTAAAAGCTAACTTGTGTATTTTGGTTGACAAAGATTGTATTCAACATCTAAATACCAGTGTTTCAAATCGAAAAACACAATTTGGCTCCCCTCTGAAAACTCCGAAATCGTGAATTCTGACTGAAATTTTGAACCCTGTTCTTTCCTACAGGAACTGGAATCCTACATTCTTTTTCCTGCAAGAATCCTTCAATCCAAAGGAGCCCTAGCAATGGTCACAACAAAGGGTGTAACAAGTGTTCTTTTACTAATGGCCCCTGGCCATACTTTCAAACGGCACTATTTGATTTAGGACATAAACATTCTTCTTAGAAAAAGATACAGAGAGATTCAAAAGTGCCATAAGAGGTAAGAGCAGTATCTGGAGAGCATGTAGGCGTATGCTGTGTCAATTTACCAATCAAGTATTATTGCTGATAGTGGTAGGTAGGGGTCTGAAAGGACAAGCCTCACGGTTGGTATTATAAGAAAGCTAGCTAGTCTTCTGAACCCTATAAAGGTGATTCTACTTCATCGCTTCATCAACTGATTGCAATCTAAGTTCAACAGACATAGCACTAACCATTGGATGTTGCATGCTCTTCCAGAATGAGGAAAATATTAGAAAAAGGGTGACCGAATCCATCTGGAACTTGAAATGAAAGGATAACCTCCATGCTAATCATGCAATGGTACACACGGTGGGGAAAAAAACACTGTTTGACTATTTCAAAAGGTGATGTACCTAATACTTGATAATAGCTGTCGTCCTACATTTCAGTAAGCAACTCTTCATAACATCAACATTTCTCATGGTCAGTTCTATGGACAGACACACATAACGATTAGCATCAATTATGGAAGGCACAAAACATTAGATAGCTAATCCATAACTGCAAAGAATAATATGATATATAATTTATGCACAGAGAAATAGCATCAATTACCTCAGGCACAATACATTACATAATTAAACTATCGTTGAAGTACATTATGATTGATGCAGATGACTCTGTAGAAAGAGCAATTGACATCAACTGTCGCGGCACATGACATTACATGACTAATGCACCAGTGCAAAGTAAATTTTGATAGATATAGGCAACTCTATCCACAGAGCAATTAACATCAATTGTGAAAGGAACAAGGCACTGCATAGCTATGCACAACTGCAGAGTAAATTGTGATAGGTACATGTAACTCTATGCACAGACCAGTTAACATTGATTATGAGGTGTAAGGCAATGCGTAGATAGTACAAAATCGCAGAGCATATGTACAGATATAGTTAAGTAAAAGGTGGTGGAGTTGCCAACAGTCAAATTATGAGTTTCATGACGAAAGCTCGAACTTTTCTAGGTAGCAAGGTTGGATATGAGCATCTTCATGGAGCATCCGTAATTCTGTATCATCTAGAGAACATAAGAGAAAGCTCATAGTCTCTCCAATTTAACATAACCTCTTCAGCGCTCCTCTCATCAAAATATGCATTAGTCAAAATTGCACGTCCATGCAGTTTCACATTTCTCATTTCTTATATTCTTGTATCTAAATGTCCATTCTCCCCTGTCTTCTCCACATAATGGCAATCAGATGTGATGAGGATTAAAGTTAAAGATAGCTGAGATGCCCTAAAGCTCCCAAGCAGGACCACAGGAACAACTGAGTCCAATCGGTTCTGAACCCAAGTAGAGAAGTCAAGAAACATGAGTGGGGATTCCATGAAGATAATAACTAAACAACTGCTGCCACTGATGACTCATCTTCCCAAATTTAGGTGCCCAAATCTGAGTTGCATGTCAACTGAGTAACTGACCCAAATGATCAAAATGAGCAAGATCAATAGAACAGATTTATGCAACATGCACCCAGCTACTCCGGGTACTCAGACCCCTTACCGCCATCATCTTTCTGCCACGTCATTCTTGGTTTAACAATGTCAGCCAATTTCCAGGTTTTGACCTTTTCGGATTCATCTGTTATTCTTGGTTTAACATCTGGACTTCTGCTTGCATCCATAGGTGCCTGCGATTTTTAAACCTTTAGCAAACCTCCGTAATGAAGAGCAAGAGAGGATGGTAAAGGCAGAAGGAACTCACCAAGCCACTTGTCAGACACTGCAGGCAAGATCCGATCAGGTCGCTCGGCATTTACTGCTATAGGACTGCTGACATTTGAAACAGGAGCAAGGGCAACAATTGGAAGCTGCAGTAAAACCAAACGTGAGAATAAGGCAACAACAAACCTTGTCAATATTCACTAAATTTCCAGCACAAATTGAAAGCAAAAGAAGGCAGGTAAGTGGTGAAGTCCAGTCGGATGAATTACTTGACTACATAACACCCCTTCTGGTGTATCTTCCCAATGCACCAGGAGAAAGAAACAATTAGCTTTTGTCCACCACAATGTACGACAATTGTCAAGTAATTATGCCTATGACAGTAGCTAACCACAATTCCAGATGCAGAAAATAAGATACTCCCTCCAGCTCCAGTCAAAAATAAGTGACGTTTTGAGGTTCTCAGAAGTCAACCGTTCCAAATTGACTACAGAATACTAATTGCATGTAATATGAGTAGATACGTCTTGGAAAATAGTTTCAGAGAAGTTTATATTTGCTATATTTTACAGGTGTGTTATAAATAGAAGTCAAAATTTAGTATAGTTGACTTCAGAGAGCCCACTTATTGTTGTCTGGAGTGACTACTTGCCTAGGATAGACATGCTTGCCTGAGTTTTGTGGCAAATTGCAGCACTGAACAATCACCTTCTTTACTGGTACCACAAGAGATTAGTCCGCAAGAAAAAAATTGTAAGTGAACAGATGAAATGAGTGAAACTGAAAATTAATATAATTTGTTACTCATCAGCAGATATTAAACTCTATATTAACACTTGCTATGTCTCACCTTGTCCCATCAGCACTGTAAGATATTTCCAGGAGCATCATAGTCAACTCTTGAGCCCAAGCAATCATACAACCATGCTTTGATTTTTTCCATCAATGGCGGTAGAGAGATAAACTACAGAGCAAGACAGAGCTAAAATTAAGAAATACATATGACAGATGGCAACTAGTAACGATAAAATAAAGCTTTACGTATTAGTTGATACTAAATGGGACCGACAGAGCTAAAATCAGAACCTTTACGTATCAAACATTACAGCAATGGACATGGAGTAGTTGATACTAAATGGGACCAAGTACAGAAATCAGCAGAACACAGGAGCACTAACAGAAGGGAGACCAAAGAACCTGAAAATTTCATGTCACTGCACAGCTCAACTCGCGCCAATCATCAAAGAGCAAAGAAAGCTCTCTGCTGGGAATGCGATGAACGGGCAGAGGCGAAGTCGGGGGAAATGGGGCACCTGCAGGGCGGTGTCGTTGGAGGCGGTTGACGGCGTGGAATACGTGGCCGCGGTGCACGGAGCGGCCGTCGGCCATCATCCAGCCCCGCATGGCCGCGCCGACCGACGCCGCCCTCTCCACCCGCCGCGGCCAGCGAGCCCTCCTGTCCTGGATCCTCGCTTGCCCCCTCCGCCCGAGGAGGAGGACGAAGAGGAGGCGCGGTGGCGTTGCATCAGGAGCTGGTGAAGAATCCTGCGGCGGGGACGGGGGGCGGCGTCATTAGCAACGACATCATTCGTCCGCTAGCTCGATGCTCTCTCTCTCTCTCTCTCTCTCTCTCTCTCTTCCCCGTGAATCCGTCGAAATTGGGGGTTTGCATAGGCAACATTACAACTCGTTTGGATTTCTCAGCTAGTAGTTCTTTGTCCTCCTCTGCGCTTGGGAAAAATGTTAAAATTAGAAATTTCCCCACTCATATAGAACAGCTAATGGCTTTAGCTTTTAGTATGGTTTTATTTACTAGAATTGATTGTAACAGTTTGTTGTTAGTGGTGTAATAAATAAATAAAATAAAATAATCAACGAGGCGTGCGCGCACGTTGAAGTCGCTGTCAGAGGCTTAAGTTCCCGCACGTTCCCCTCCTGCTCGTTACACGGAGTCACGCAGAGGCAGAGGAGCTGTCCGGGAGACATGCGCGTCCGCGTCGGGTGCAATTCCCGCACGTTTCCCTCCTGGTCGTTACACGAAGTCGCGTCCGCGTCCGCGTCGGGTGCGGTGCCCTACCTGTAAGGCTCACGTGCCGGAGCCTATAAAAGAGCTGGAGGGAGACCAGTGAACTCATCACTCCAGCACAGCGAGCAAGAACTCAAAAAGGAGCAGAGAGAGCACCGAGCAGAGCATAACAGAGGAGGGGAAGAGACAGCCAGGCAGCCATGGAAATGGGCGACAGCTTCGAGTACTACTGGGAGACGCAGCGGTACCTGGAGTCAGAAGAGCTCAGGTACGCCCGCGCCGGCCATCCGCCATCGATTCATCCCGCGCGATGCCGCCATTGCTATTGCGTTTCGCAGGGAGTCTGATTTGAGTGACGCTTTGGAATTGCCGTTGCTGCTGCTGCAGCATCTACCTGGGCACGCAGGATGACGCCCTGTCCTGCTACGACTCCAGCTCGCCGGACGGCTCCATCTCCAACTCGTCCTGGGCGCCGGCGGCGGCGGGGATGGTGACCACGGCGGCGGCCGGAAATGAGAAGGCCCCCGCCGCCGCGGGAGGAGGTGCGGCGGCGGCGGCGGCGGCCGCCGCGAACAAGAACATCCTCATGGAGCGCGACCGCCGGAGCAAGCTCAACGAGAAGCTCTACGCGCTGCGCAGCGTCGTGCCCAACATCACCAAGGTGAGAGAGTCCGTGCCGCCCGTCGGCATTGCATGCACTGCCGATCAAATCCAGTGAGGAGCCGTACGTCTTGGTTCTGACGGCGGGCGGCGAATTGAACACACTCGATCCTGTTTGCAATGCATTGCAGATGGACAAGGCGTCGATCATCAAGGACGCGATCGAGTACATCGAGCAGCTGCAGGCGGAGGAGCGGCGGATGCTACAGGAGGTGCGCGCGCTCGAGGCCGCCGAGGAGCGTGTCGACTACGAGTACGACGAGGGCGCGCTCCTGCAGGCGGCGGAGCGGGGGAAGAAGAAGATGAAGCGGACGCAGTCCGTGCCTTCCTCCGTCGTCCCGGCGCCCGTGGAGGTCCTGGAGCTGCGCGTGTCGGAGGTGGGCGACCGCGTGCTGGTGGTCAACGTGACGTGCGGCAAGGGTTGCGACACCATGGCCCGCGTGTGCCGCGCCATCGAGGAGCTCCGGCTCCGCGTCATCGCCTCCAACATCACCTCCGTCGCCGGCTGCCTCATGGACACCATCTTCGTCGAGGTACGTCGTTTCGTCGGCACGCAGCTTGCAGCAATCGTATTTTGTTCGCCAAGCACAGATTGCTCTGCTTTTCTTGTGGAGTTTTCGAATGGTTAGGATGACGTCAGACACCATAGCTTTTGTAGGTTTGACCTTAGAATTTGACTTTTTTCACACATTGAATTCTTTTCCTTTTTTATTAGAAAAAGGTCGTCATGTTCCATTTGCGGCTGTTAAAACGAACGCCACGAACTGAAAAAATCCGCCACGAGTTCCTTTTCGTGATCCACGTCAGATGCGAGTCTGATTGGTGCTTGAGTAGAAAAAACAGAGCGACCATGTGGCTGCCTCACATGGCCATAGCAGGTGGAAAACGATGCGCACGTGCTCGTGACACTCTGCAAGTCTCGCCGTGTCTGTCTCCACCATCCATGAATTAGTAATAATAACACAGCAAATTATTTTCTACATGCCGCGACTGATTCTTGTCCTATGCCAGGCACAACACAAGCTGCACGTGCTCGAATTCTTGCATATGATTAGCATGTGGTTAATTAGCTGAGGTTTTTTTCATGAGTAATATGATATGTGGGTGACTGATTGACATTTTAGCATTGATATTTCGCTATTTTTGGATAAAAAGACTTAGTCCAATCGGGTCACTTTGTTTTTTCAGGTGGATTTGGATCAAGCGAATCTTGTTCAAATGAAGCACATGATTGAGGCCGCTCTGACTCAGCTAGATGCCGCCGGGAGTCCGCCAAGTGTGATGAGCTATTAGAATGGGATAAATGGATAATCACGCTGCTGACATGAGCCGGCCTAGCAGTTGTGGTCGACCATGTAGGAGTCAAGTCAACGAATGCGTAACCAATGGTGTTTCGTGTGCTGCTCTTTTTTTCGACGCCCCTTGCGCATTATAGTTATAGGAATTAGGAGGTGGCTGCTTTTCTAGACTCTAGAGGCTGGTCAGGGGCTTTGCGATGGGGCTTTATAGAACTTTGACGCAATGAACTGAGATGTGTAAATTTCGAAATAAGAAGTTCATTGACTCTGCATGGTCTCTACAAGGAAAGAAAGTCATGGTAAAAAATAGTTTCTATGATTCTTTATTGCAACAAATGAAACATAAGCAAGTTGCACGTTCGCGGGAAAAAAATTGTTGTAACAAATGAAACTATGATTATGGAAAATTACTTTCAAGTTCTGATCCACTGATAACATGTTTCTTTCATAAACCAGCATGTTCTCACACCAAGTCTGAGACCCTATCTAGAACAATAAAATAAGTTGCTAGCTACTAAAAAATATTTTGCTAATCTAAACAACCTAGCTTGTAAATTAGTTTGAACTATTCAACAACCCATCTTATAAAAAGCTATTGGCCGATTCCTAGCTTTATGTTAGAGCAACTCGAGCAATAGCCAATGAAAGCCAATAAAACAGGCCCCTACGTTTCATTTGAGAGCTCCCCCACTTTTGAGGGTAGTATTTTTAAGCTGCACTCTAGCAATAGTCATCAAAATAGAGCCCCCATGTAACACCCTTGGTGTTACGCCCTAAATAAACTACTAAATCATGGCATGAGCATCATGTTTATGTAGTAATACATGTGATAGAAGGTGTTGATAAATTTCTTGTAGCCTAAAATGACCAATGAAAATGTTAAATAGAAATTCATTCAATAACTCATGTTATGTCAAGTAGGGTGGAAAACCAATTTTTATTGAGTAAAAGTATTATAGAACATGTGTGTGACACATAAATAAGGTTTGAAGTATAAACTTTGTAGATGACAATGTAACTCTTGTTGTAGAAAAATAATATGACTAGCTAGTATTTCTAATGGCTTGAAAATGAAACTTGAAGTCAAATTCAGCTCAAGACTTGGAAGAAATTAAGTTGAAAACAGTGTGACAATGCCATGTTGGTGAATTAATTCTGAAAAATCTAGCTAAAGGTCATTGATGTGTTTTTGCTCCTTATGGTAGACTGATGTACCCTCATTAGCATGGTCGAGGTAGTTTAGCTTCAACTGTGTTAGGTTAGTTTTTAGACGCACTTTAAAATTCGTGCACGTCATATGCCTGGCCCATGTGCGCGGTCACCTCGCGCGGCTGGCCGCGTTCCGCGCGCCGCGGTGTCGAGCCCGGTCGGCCTGTCTGGCCGTGGCCAGCCCTGGCGGGCCGCCGTCATCGCCCTGCAACGACTGGCCGCCGCGCTACTGTCCGGCTGCCGCCCTTCCTGCCTCGCGCTGTGGTGCTGCTGTTGTCCTTCTCGCCATCATACGCGTGGGTGTGTCCCTGCTATCGGCGCCGTCACATCGCCGCCGCGTCCGCGCTCTCTGCAATCCTGCGCCGCTGCCTGGCCCTGTCCGATGGCACTGTCTCTGCCGCGTGCACGCTGCCGGCCTGGCCATGCGTGGGGCCAAGCTGACGTCACGGCAGTCGTCGTCTGGCTGTCGTGGCGCTCGTCTCGCCGCTTAATTCACCTACCCGCCGAGTCACTGCCTGCCTCGGCTGTCTTGTAGCGCTACGATCTCGCCCCCACTGCCCTGCCGCTCACGCGCCGTTGTCGCCTTGGCGCGCTACGCCTGGCGCTCTTGCTTGTTTCATTTCTGATGTTATCCCCTTACTCACCGACGCGCCTCTGTTACTGTCTCCATGGTCATGTCCCCACGTGGCTGTGCCCTCGTCATGTCTTGGCCGGTCCACGTTAAGTTAAGGCCGCGGGCCACGATATTGCAGTGGTAGCGCACCATCCCTCCTAAATCCCTAGCTCAGGCTCCCAGTCCAATTCCTCGTGCCGTGAGTAGTATAGGAAGTTAATTAGGCACCCCATCCTCCTCAAGCCCGGCCAAGCACTGCCGACCGACTAATCGGGGTTTTGCTCACCGCCGGCCAGGCGTGCCGCCGAGCTGGTAGATTTGGGGGTAAGGCCCGTAGGAGTGGTAACAGTTCAATTGCTCATAACCCTGAACTCACCTTGACTCCCTCTATCCGGTGCTCGCACTATTTTGGCCAGGGAACTCGTCGGCGACGTGGTGACGCGTCGATGTCCGGCTCGGGGCATCGCCGTCGTGCCCGGGCGCACGTGGCTAGGCCACCTCAGCTTTTTCTTGCCTCAACAGTCATCGCAGCACGAATTCTGGTGAGCTACTGGTGCTTATCCGCTATCTCTACCACCTCGATAGGATCTTAGGCTACTGGGACAGTCGCGTCGCCGCCGCGGATAGCCCTCTCGCCGCTATAGCCCACGACAGTGCACCTCCGAGTCTCTAACGACCACCCATCCTTGCGCGTTTAGCTGTAGATGGTGGTCGGCCCCTTATTTCTATCGTAGCACGCCTAGGTTGCCCGGCGTAACCCCCTTATGCTAAGGTAAGAATACTGCGCATAGTAGTCATATTAATCTCTGAAAGCACGGGGCTTTTCTGCAAAACAGCCGACGCGCGCGGGCTTCCCCGGCCTTGGGCCGCACTGGGCCGCCGCGACGCGAGCGCAGCCGCACCGCGTTGGGCTACCGGGCCAGAAGGGGGTTGCTGCCGGCCCTTTCCTTTTTCTAATGCATTTTCTAATTTAGTTTATAAGGCAAACTTGTAAATATAATATAAATTTGTGTAGTTGACCAAAAATTGTGAAACTAATTTTGTTAGGTTCCTAAAATTATGATCTATCTGCTAGTAAATTTTGTTCATATAGTTTTATAATATTTTCAGGAGTTATCTAATTAATTTGAGATACTTAATATTGTAAAATATAAACTTGTAGGAATTTTTATGATTAATCAGTGCCAGTGTTAATTCTGAAACTTTCACAGTAAATTTCTAACATTATTAGGTGCTCACTGTAATTTTTGTAGCTTCATAATAATTAGTTTGCTAAGGTAGCTAAATGTGCCCTAGTTCGAAAATATATATTTAATCAATAAAATGCCGAAACAACTTGGAATTTTAAAACTAGAGCATTTTCCAGAAAATCACGCCTTATTCGACACCATGGATATGTAGCCTAGTACATTAGCCATTAAAGCTAGCTTGTTAGCTTGTGGAGCGTAATCGTAATTTAGAGTTGCAGTTGCCGTTGGTTAATTACGTTTTCTGCGTTGCATCCACGTATATCATAATAGGAACAACGATGGATCATGGAGTCGACCGAAGTAGCGGAAAGGATGGTGCCTGATGATTGTGTCACCATGATGGAATGTTAACTTTTGGTTATATCTTACTCAGGCAAGCCCCGGTGCATAACCCCTATTATTCTGCACTTTATTTTATGCTTGTGCATTAAGTTTTAAGGAGTTGAATGAAAACCCACTTGCATATATATATATATATATATCCTTATCTTATGAGTCCTACTAGTATGTTAGGATTATGTAGATTGCTATGCTGTAAGATCCGGTAGAAGTCGAGTGATTACCTGTCACTCGCGAGAGATAGGAAAGATATTATTGTTATTATTATATTACTATCACATGAAATATATATGGATAATAATTGGAGACCGGGCGGAAAGGTACTTTGGATCTCGACTTGGTTAGGCATTCGAGCAAGACTCAAATTGCACGTGTTCTGTCTGTGTCGATTGAGGACCGTCCATTGCTGTGGATGGTATTCAGGTCACATACTTATTATCCTGAGCACATACTTGCTTATGGGAGCGGGAAGGCTCGTTACGCGCTTGTCATGGGTTCTGGCTCTTTCTGGATCGACTGATTGGAGGCGGGGAAAGGTGGAGGTCTAAGCACCATATTCAGACCGGATCTCAAGTGTGGGGGTTTAGAGTCTAAGTTTGGACGGGGACCTCGACCCCTTAACAGGAGTGGAATGGGTTGGTCTTGTTTTTGCCTGGGGTACAAACAGTGCATGTGTTTCGGGGTATCCAGCTGGGATACATTGGTTTGCGAATCATTGTTTCTATAAGACGGTACTGACCTGGCTATGGTCTAGCACCGTATTAAGAACTGGAATATGAAAGATGGTAAAATAGTTCTAATTGCTCACCACCTGCTTGAAAGTAGCATAGGAGCTTACATAGAATGGATAGTTAATGAACTAATAATGACTGCTAATAAAATTTAATATAAGGACGCACATTTAGTAATGCTTCCACAAATATAATAACCCACAAGCCAAATAAACCTTGCATATCCTTGGAGTCTTTTATTTTTCTCCTGTTGGGTAAGTCTTGCTGAGTACAATCGAGTACTCCGGGTTTTATTCCCCCTGTTGCAGGTGATCGGAGGATACATAGAGCTGACTCTTGTGTGTCAAAACCTCCTAGTGGGCTCAAAAAGGATTTCTTTCACGCTACGACCATAGTGTTTATTTATAACCCTCACTAAAGGTTTTTATAAGAAAAGATGTAAAATATGCTAGCATCTCTTATATATAAAAGTCCACTATGTTAATACTCCACCATGTCCTTAAATTAATCTTTTTTCCTCTGTAACTCTGATAACATTATTATATTCCGCTGTTATAATCAGTTGAGGTAATATTCTGTTACTATAATAAAGTGATGTAAGAAATGGCTTAAGAATGTTGTAAGCTTTATTCTCTCATTTATGATCCTGATGGAAAAATGTGGATTTTTGAGTTCTCCCTTGGGGTGTGCTCGATAGAACTGTGTAGTTTAGTGTCATCTCTTGTGTACTTAGGGTCTAATGGAAGATAAGTACTCCTGTGAGACATTAGATTAGGCAGTTCTGCCATAGGTGGTATCAGAGAATAAATGAGGAAATAAAGCTTCAAAATCCTTTTCTAAACTAAAATTGGAC